ACTATATTAGAGTCCGATACATTTTACAGACGCTGCTATTGCACTGAACATTTATATAAAAGGTATCTTTATTTTTTTTATAAATTAAATGGCATTATGATAAATCATTTGTAAAACCTGATTTTTATAATTTACGTTAAGTGAGTACAACTTTTTCGACATAAAAACAAAACAATATAATATTCACTGTCTACCCCAAAAGGTTTATTTATAAGTTATCATACATAATTTATCGAATTTCATAATTTAGAATTGAAGCCTACATTGTTTCTCTTGTTTGTTAAAAACTAACTTTAAATAAAGTTGTAAGTGAACATAGAACCCCGGTATCGCATTAAAAGCACGCGCAATAAATCCACTGAAAAATTAAAGCACGGATATTGCGCCACCTGGCGACATTAATATCAGTTACACCGCTAATCCTAGAAGCGGCGGGAAAGCGCGCCCGATAGTGCGGCCACTCTGCTGCGAGCTTTAAGCTTAAACAAATTAAAGAATATAAATGTACAAACACTCAAGGCTAAACTGTGATAGGTATTTAGTTGAACACAATTTTAAACTTAGTAAATTGACTTTTTCTTGCACTTATTTTAGGGAAATATTACAGAATGTGTCAACAATTTATGTGAACAAATAATGATTGTTGTTGAAGACTATTTTATGAGAGGTGTAGAATTTTTTTACTATTATTACTATCTACACATAGCTCGTTTATGTAAATCGCTTGAAAAACGCAGATTCTTCAAAAACTTTCTTAACTCTTTTAGTCACTTTAGTAGTAATTTCCCTGTTTTTCGCTATGGGTTATTTGTTCGCAAATTCAGTTTTTGAACATCCAAAAGTAACTGTTATTTTACTATCACTATTTACATAATATACGTGGTGCAATGTTTCACTTTTAAATTTATTTTTTGTTGTTTATTACTTGCAGAAACGCAACGCATTGCCTTGGCACGACCAGTTACGTTAAAATAAAAATATAACTTACAACCTTGGGACTACATTTAAAAGTCACCAAAGAAATTCTAGTAAAGTATTGTTTGATATTAAAACCATAAAATTTTAATGAAAAAATTCTTTAAATGAGGGCAAATGTCATTTTAAAAATATCTTAAAACACTATTAAAATATCCCCAAAACTTTAGATGTATCTGTTTAAATTACAACGAAATAAATAAAAAATAGTAGTAAACCGCAATGGATACAATTACTCAAGTGAGTACAAACATTGATCGTAATTTCAGTATTCAACGTGAAACTTGTTACTTGATTGGTTCCAAGCATATTGCGAATTGTTTACCCGATATTGGGGTAAAAGAGAACGTGATCTGGTAACATCGAAGACCGAAACAGAACTTCAATGTTAATGAGTCGAGTTTTAACACATTTACCGCTCAGCTCACAAGTTTCAATCAACAAACAGTTTTCTTTGCAAAAGTAGAACTTTTGCCTGAGACTTCTAATTTTCTTATACTTTTATTCTTAGTATCATAATACGAAAAGCTTAATGGATGGATAAAATAAAGTGATTCTACTTTTGAATGTACCTTTTCAACGTGCCGATTTATACACGTAGTGAATACAAGGTTTCTCCTAATATTAAAAGAATTTACCGAATCCTACCAACAAATTGATATTCAGACTGTTCTATTTCTTATTGTCAAACGCGAACTAACTTAATGGTTTAAGCATGACTAGACTGATGTCTTTTGTAAAGCCTTTTAGTTGGGAATTGAATCCAGGCTGCGTCAGGTCACAATACACACGGTCACTTGGGTCGCGACACTAGCGACCTCTATAACAACTCTAGAAGTTTTGCTTTTATTGACACAATATTGAAGTCCTACTTTCAGATAGCGCACATAGGTAACGTTTTAACAAAAGCTTGCTTACACTTTAATTTGCAAAGAATTGACTCTCATAATTGCTTGCTAATTCATATTAACGAAATCTAGACTACACAGATACTTAAAATACGTTTTTTTTTTAAGTTTTAAATAATATTTTAATTCAGTGCGCGCTTCGGAGGGAATAAGAACAATTACTTTTCCGTTATTGTATTAAGGTCACGCGCCTTAAATCCCCTGACAGATGATTGCAGGAAAATTGCTGCAACGTCGACATTAATATCAGTTGCAGCGTCGTCTGCGAGGGGAGCTGTGGAGGGGTCCGTGTGAAACCACTATCATAGGGATTCATACTTATACAATCGTACAATGACTAGATGAAAAGAAAGCCTACTGTTTTGTTTAGCATTTGTTTTAATTTACATAAAACTTGCTGTTCCCGTGCGAGTTCATCCGCATAAAATTAAGAAAATTTCATTTTATTGTTTACATGTGTCAAATTATCAATTGCAAATGTCAAAATGACATAACATGATGACAAACCATGACAACCTTGATTCCTTGATGTTGGCAGCAACTTATGTCTCTTTCCCACATTAGGGTTTTATTCAAAATATTTACCCCTAAGTTT